CGCTCCTCCGGTGAACTAAGAACACACTTATCTCCCTGAGCCTGGCCTTCATAATTCCATTCCATCACATCCATGGACTGTATGTAAACCCCCAGCTCTATTTTTGTAGATTCCTAATTTGCGCTTTTGAAATTAAATGGCAAAATTATGCTTTTTAAAATTAAGGGCTAAAAGTCTTTGTTTTTTAAAACATCCTCCTCAAGACTCCAACATTTCAGGCCCACCCTCTCCAGTGATCTAAATCTTTTTCCCCTGCAGCCATTAGAGGCTATAAAACCATCACCCCATCCTGACTGTCCAGACCTGACATAAACCATCTTTTTTCCCATCATTGTTACAGATAATGTAACAGATTTCTTACACACACACACAATTTGTTGTATATGTGGAAGAAATTGTGAAACTTAATGTTTCTGTGGTTTACATAATAAAAACTGCATTATTGAACTAATGACCTCACCCAAATCTTACACCCCTCTATATTGCTATTTTTTGTCAATATGTTCTCCAATATTTCAAGCTCTTTCACGTAGATATTCCATATAAAATAAAGTATCCTTTGAACTGAATTCATCTTTATGGTTTCTTGGCAAAAATATAGGTGGTTTGTCATTGTCTTCCTCCAGTAGGTTTGCTTTTCAACTTCCCATTCTAGCCCACAGCACTAGTACTTTTTTGCAGTCCTCCATCAAGTACTAACTAGGTCCAATCCTGTTTCATTTTTTGAATCAGTCACCTAGTTGGGCTTATGCCATATAAAACACATTTGTTCAATTTGATCAAACTGAAAAATATGGAACCAATGAAATCAAGGATTATCAATATTTTACAATAATTATAAACTGCTTATAATATAATCCATGTATTGAGCTTTAAGGTGATATAAGATTCAAGTTTTTGCCACAGTACATTGACTTGGCTACTCTACAGGAAACTATTACAGTAACAGTGGCACTTCCACCTTTGATTCTGATGATATAGTCTCTTCCATCTTCAGATTGTTGCATAGGCATCATGGGATGAGATGGGACAAAGATTTATTCACAAAAAAGATAAGGATTTTCAGTCATACTTTCTACTGGAACCTAGATTCACATGACTATCCAAGT